CTGCAGAGAGAAGGTGCATTGGAAAAGTCTGAACACAAGTTTCTTATCCAGGCAGCAAAATCACGCTCATCAGCTGTGAATACTCAGCAGCACGAGGAAGTTCTGCGGGCTGCTGTCCCCAGCGTCCCAGAGTGCTAGGGACATCAAACCCCGGACACCATCCACAGCCCGGGCACAAGGACCTTTCCCACTCAGAGCCCGAAGGCAGAGACAGCCACGAGCTGTGGAGAAGGCTCACGGGAAGGACACAGGGCACACACAGCATCTGGAGCAAAACCCTGACACTCCCGTGTCTGCTTAGTCAATAAAGACTCCTGTCTGGCTGCATAGACAACTTTTTTTTTTTTTTTTTTAAAGATAGGAATATAAATCTGCACCTTACCAGGACTTCATACTCCCAAATCATCCTCCAAAAGTCAATGATGGTAGTGGGAAGGGGACCCTGGGTTGCAATGTATGCTCTTGGCCCGTAGACGCCCTAAAACAGCATTCAGATCAAACACAGAGACACATTTGCATAGGTCACTAGCAGACATAAAAGTCATCCCTCTTGCTGAATCTTACTGCTATCCAGTGAGCCCCATTAAGGATTTTAAAGGGCTTAAATTTTCGACACCTACATTAAATCAAGCAACCAGAAAGCAGTGGTGTGCAAAATTCCCCAAGCAGACCCAAGCCAGGGAGCTGGGCTTGAGGTCAGGTCAGCTCCCAGTAGACCCCCAGTTCTTGCAGTGCATTGGGGAGCTTGGACGGGATGTTGCAACAGCTGATCCAGCTCCGCAGCGTGCAGCTTGGCACATCTGTGGCTGTTGGCCAAAGAACAAACCGTGATCCCCTTGGGAAGGTTTGTTCTGTAGATGAAGAGCCCTTGGTCACTATGGTGGAGAACGAAGGAAACCTACTTACTATCTATCTATCTGTCTGTCTGTCTCTCTATCAGAGAAGTGGCACAAGCACAGCCCACATGCAGCTCTGATGCTGACCTGCCCTGTTTCTCGCCGCTGCCGTGGGTCCCAGCGGTGCTGCAGTGCACAGCTTCCTGCCTGCTCTGGTTTCAGGGCGATTCTGGCCACAGCCAGCTTTGCACCACCGTCGCCCACCAAAGGCAGAAACACGGACGAGGAAGTCGGGGCTGCGAGCCACAAACTGTTCCACCGCCCACCCCGATACGAGCGCACGTCCCTCTCCCTGCAGCCTGGTGCCTCCGTGCTGCAGAGGGGTTTGCGAGGGGCTCGGTGGTCGCACACAGCCTCACATCGCTTGTCCTGCGGCACAGCCCATCTGCTGCACCCTCCTTCCCTCGCCGCAGCCACCAGCCCTGCTCCTCCTGGCACAACCCAACCAGGCAGCGCTGACAGCAAACACCTCTGCACGGCAAACCACCACGGAAGAAGCCATACCTTGAGCCATACCTTGATGAAGTTGGCGTTGATGTAATGAGAATCTGCGTCTGATGTGATCAGGGACAGCTCCACTCTGCTGTGGTCGACTGCAGGCACAAAGCAGAAGCAGCGGTTAGTGCTGGTCTCACGGCAGCTCCGCTCCCCCGGCTGCAGCACGAGGTGCTCTGGGGCAGCACCCACCCCACAGCTCGTGCCTCCTCCTGAGCCCACCGACAGAACGGCCGTGCCCGCAGCGGGCAGCAGACAGCCGAGATCTCTGTCGCATCGGTGCCGAGGGCTCAGGCAAGAGCTGCCGGTGCTGCCACCGCCCCAGTGCAACGCCAGTCTCCTGACCATGGAGTCAGGCGAGCCTCCAATCACCCTGTGCTCCATCTTACAGGCTCAAATGAACTCTCTGTGTTTAGACTTTTTTTTTTTTCAAGCTAGAATGGACGAAAGGGACAGTCAGCTCTGACCCCAGGACAGACTCTTCTTTGGAGACCGCTGCACCAAGGCAGCACAGCCCCGACAGATTTTGTCTGTAGTCTGCTTTGTACGTCATCTCAGGGACATCTTTGTCCAAAGCCATTCCCTACGAGCCCTTGGGCAACAAGGGGTTGCAACGCTACCCAGAGAGCTCGCAGGGACAATCCCTAGAGGATGCGTTTCCTACTGAAGAGGAGTTTTCCTGTCTGTAGGAAATACAAAAGTATTCCAGAGCATGCACTGTGACAATCAAAGGTAAAGCCTTAAATCTGAGCAGCGGAACTCAAGGCCAGCTGACAGCCAGGGACAGGCTCACAGGCAACAGCTCTGCAGGCACACTGGAGGAAGAGAACAGACTCAAGCTAAAAAAAAAACCAAGAAAAAAATAGGAGCATTTGCCATTTCCAACCTACAGGGTAAGATGTCCTTGTATCTGTTCTTCTTGATGTTCTCTGGATGCTCAGATGCTGCTGTAGGGTAGATTTTATCTGATCTGTACTTTGTTGACTGCCTTTTCAGCTTCTGTGATGAAAGAACGGAACAAATTACAGCAATGTGCTACATACAGCACACTACCAGAGAGCACGCGTGAAGGTCTCCAGGGGCCGGGCTCAGACCGCAGCGCGAGCTCTGCACCATTAATTCTTTCCTGAGTGGCTTTTCTCAAGGCACTCAGAGCAAGAACAGAGACAGAAGCCACCCCAGAGCCCAGCGCAGGCTTCTGAGGAATGGAAAGTGTGTGCTGCGGCAGTGCCCACACGAGGCTCAGGTACGTAGCTTCGGCAGAGGAGCGATGCATTTACACAGCCCGGCCCTCACAAGTAAGGGAGATGCGGGGAACCATCCTCGGTACTGATGGCACCCGGATAAGAGGCGTAACAACGCTTCCAGGGGAGCGTGCACGGAAGGGCATTACTTAGTGCTGAAGCCAGACTTCCCAAAGCTGAGGCTCGGAACCACCTCACTTTTCTGTCCCTGCATAACCGGACATGAGTCTGCCCACCACAAGCAAGAGAGAGCAGCAAGGATCAGACTTAGGCTGCGAGACAGCACAGACAGAAAAAGGGGACTCGAACAAAACCCCTGCCATTTACATTAACACCACCACAATTTGCATGCACAGATGCTTGTTCACACAAAGGAAGGGGAGGCATTAGGATGGAGAAATAGCATCGAACATTCTGCCGAGTTTGGAAATGCAAGCCGTCGCAGTCGCCTGTCAGGGCTTTTGCACAAGCAGCCGATCCTCAGGCTGTCCTGGGAGCATCTGTTCCTGGTACTACAGGAAACGCTGCCCCGACCACTTCTACCTGCCCTTTTGGTCAGAAAATCAACTGTGCATTCGGCTGCTGGAACTGGCACACACACCCGGGCTCGGCTGCACGGCTCAGGGGAGGGGGAAATCCAGCCGCCGGTGACTGCGCGTTGTTCCATGGAACATCAGACTGTCGCTGAGGCTCAGATTAATCACTTCCCTCCGCCCCAGACACCTGGAAACCCAGCACTCAGCTTTTCCCGAGTGTTTGATGTTCCAGCCCCCAGGGGTACAGTGAGGCAGGGACCCCCTGCACCGTCCCCAGCGACCGCAGCCTGGGGGGGCTCGGGGTGGTGCTGGGAGTATCTTGGATCCTGCAGACGTACGGGTTCCCTGTCCGCCTTTGCCTCTCGGAGCAGCCCAGGCAGGCTGGCAGAGCTCCCTGCCCCTGGCCGGCGGCTCAGAGCTGTCCCCAGCCGTCGGCTCTGGCTGCGGGACGGTGAGTTGCCGTCGGAGGCTCACACCATCACCCAAACTAACAAATAACCCCGAACACCTGCTCCCTGCCCCGCAGGGGGGGGGTCTATGGAAATGGAATAACGAAAAGCTCTCTCAGAGAGCAGCCACAGACCCCTGACAGGAGCACGGGTGTCACTGACACCACCGACTGCAAAGGGGAGAAGGGACAGGGGCTCCGTGCTCCTCAGCGTGCCCGGCAAAGTGAAACCGCTTTTCGACAAGTGCATTCGCAAAGCAGAAAACAGGAAGCGCTCAGTAATTGCTTAAAAAGCAAACAGTTTTACTTTGAATGCAAACCATTAAATTACTCTTCTGTCTTTACATTCCTTTTACCCCACTTGACTCCCATGTCTCTTTCTGCTGTAAAATTAATAGAAAATCTTATTGTCACATGCAAATCACATCCCTGTTGATATGACCGGCGGTTCCCTTTAGAGCTGAAACACGGAGCCATGCCCTAAGCGCACTTACCAAAAACTCCTCTACAAACTCTTCTCGGTTGAGCTTCTTGCCTTGGGCCCTTTCCAGGTTTTGCAGCAGAATCTCCCTTTGGTCCATGCTGCCGGAGCCCGAGCGCGGCTGCCCTGCCGAAACCCCTGCCGAGCCCGGGGATGGACATGTCAGGCGCGTGCTGCCGCGGAAAGCACCAGCCCGGGGAGCGCTGGCAGCCGGCTGTGGTTTACTGACTTCATCACCAGGCTTAAAGGAAATTCGTACGTAGCAGAGAGCGTGGTCAAATAACAAAACAAAACACACAACCTGGGGCCCCAGCGCCTCCTTTTCAAACCACGCGTGCCTGGCGCGCACCCCGAGCCGGAGCGGGCAGGAGCCGCGCGGCAGAGCAGAGCTGCCCGTCCCGGTGCCGCGTGCCTCCGGCGCACCCGTGGGTACAGAACAGCCACCGGAGTTCTACATCCAGCTGCTGAGAGGTGGGGGATGCTGGTCACTCTGACAGAGCCATCACTCTCAGCTTAAATTGATGTCAAGTGTTAATTTGCAAAAATAAGCCTTTGAATCACCTGAGAGGAACAGGGAGATCTTTAGAGTCACTAATGGAAACATGTTTGAAAACAAATATTCACCTGATGAGTCTGTGGCACTGAGCACCAACCTAGAAACCTGGAATAAGAGTGAAGCCCACTTTTATGGCTAAATCAGAGAGAAACACAAGGAGAAAAACAAATTAATAACAACAAACATTTATTAATTTTTGTTTGCAGTGATACAGAATCCCTTTTACACGTTGGTTATGTGTAGAGTGCTGCTTGCAGTCTCCTGAAGAAATACAAAAGCATTTTTCCCGTTAAATCAGTGAAGAGCCCAGCTCCACCGTCCGGAAAGCAGCACAGCCCTCTCTCTCAGGTGTCCAAGTTCTCCTGAAAACAAACAAAAACCCGCGTGTGTCTGTGTTTGAGAGAAAGAATTCAAGGCAGGTTTAAAGGAACCAGCAGGAAGAGGAGGATGCAGGATGGAGGGACGAGCGACCCACCTCCCGCTGAGACCCTCTCCCACCCCGATTCCATCCCTTCCCCATAAAACGCACCAAGCGGCGTCTGCAACGCTGTGTGAGCAGGACGGTGCTTTTTGTCTGATCCATCCTTCATTGTTCTGATTCTCATCTCAGGGAGCAAGCTGAGCTCCCAAGATACCAAGATAAGGAATTGAACCCTGAGATGCAGACAGGAGCTTTGACGCCGGGTTCAGCAAGCCCTGACCGGGGCGTTCTGTGCTCCCGCGGCTGTGAGCAGCCTCAGCCGGTGTGTGCTGGGGACACGCAGGGCACCGGTGGGGAGCTGGGAGAGGCACGAGGGAGACATGGGAGACACAGAGCAAGGGCCATGAATGTGCAGGCAGACATCACCACCCCTTGGCGTCCTTACCCATCCGCCGCGGGCCTCAATGTAGCTCCTCACTTGAGAATTTCCATTAATCACTTGTGTGAGTTGGCTGGGACGCACCAGGGCTGGGACTTTCTCAGCCACATACATCAGCAGTTTCACAGAGACGGAGAGAAACGCTCTCTCGTAGAGCAGCTCGGGGTTCTGGTCACTCCAGCTCCTGCTGAGGGACTCCACGGCAGCCCCAAACTTCTCCAACTGCAAGCACCGAGGGGGCAGTTTAAGCGGAGCATCCCCTGCACCGACACGCCGGCCCAGGCGGCTCCGGGGCTTCTCGGGGG